CTAAGTGAAACAATATCCATAAAACTGTAACATCCTTCCCCCCCCAAGTTCGATGGCGTGCAACGCGCGAAACTCAAGGAGAAACTCCCCAGCTGGCCAGTCTTTTCGCCGTTCATAGACGCGATGGCTGGTCGAATCGCACGGTCGAGGGCGCAGTGAGGCGCGGAACGAAGCTCGCTGGGAGGTGGCCGGCGGCTGCTCCAGGCTGAGCCGATGCAGGGGCCACAGGCTAGCAGCGATATAGTGGCTGTGGGCAGATCGTCATCTGTTGGCCTGCTATGTTGGTGCCTGAAAGACTCGCGGCGCAACACAAGGCGTGTCCGTGCACGCGAGGCGCGTGGGACAGCCGCTACTGGGAAGCGCCAGGACGCAGGCATGGCACGCATTCTGGCGCGTTGAGAAGCTGGTGGTGCCAGCGACGGCGCATAGATGGTCCTGCATGGGCCCGCTTCCTGGATCTCCGCTAGAACCGCGGAACAAATGCTCAGAGCGAACTCAGGTTCCGTTGCGCGTGAGGCGCCCGAGACCCGTCCACTTTAATGCGGTATTGGGGACGCTGGCAAGGCTCGACGACCCGTGCCGGTGCCCGGTCCCATCGTCTTGGCGAGTTCCCCACTTGATTCTGGAATGAAGCACCTGTCGCCGTCATGTATGGGACCGCAAGGGGCGCACATGCCTCATTCAGGCCCTCTCAGACGATTTACACCGAATCTTTGCTTCTGCGTAGCGCGACCTCCTTCCGAGCTTGCCATGCCTCTTGCCCATTCTGGGCGCGACAACAAGGCTTCGCAGTACTTCTCCAGGCGGTCACGAAAGAGAATGAGTCACGCCAGCCTGTTTCCAAGGCGATCTGCTGGTGACACCGTTGCCGTCCGCCGAATCGGGTGTGTTTGCGGAGCTGCCCAGCAGCGCACGCGAGCAACCTGTCATTGTTCTAACACGCCTGTCGCCCCGACCAACTATTTTGACCGGACGGCAGACGCTTTTGCCCTGAATTCACGCC